CACTTCCCAGGCAGTATACTAATACAGCTCGAGTGAGCCGAAAGGACATCAATCAGTACAATCCTGAAAGCCTGAAGAGGTGCCTTTTTGGTATGCAGAGGATTCTCCTCACCTAAACACTACTGCAGGTCCTTTCGCCCTATTTCGGCAGTCCATGGCCCAATGGCCTCTCTGCCCGCATCGCCAGCAAACATCCTGCTCTCTGCCTCTTCCCTGCCATCTCCGGCCACAATCACCATTTCGGGATTTCGTTGGCTTCCTCTGTTGCCTCTAGATCTGAGCTGCTGGACAAATTGGCCTTTAAGTTCACTTAATCTTTTTGTAAACAAGCTTTGCCTATCCATGTTGGTCAGAGACGTAATAATCTCATTCCATCCTTGCTGCTGCCAAGTCAGGTTCACCAATTTAAAGGCGTGTGCAGTATTAGGATCAAGGCAATTTAAAAGGGTTTGTATGGCTAGGGGTCCGTGCTGCTCAAGTGCCACATCTGCCGAGGATTCCCAAGTATCCTTAAATCGAACAATGAAGTCTGTTAACTGTTCACCCTTCTTCTGGATACATCTGGCCACTTCCCCAAAATCACTATGCTGCCTGGCCCCGTTAATGATGGCCTCTTTGGCTCGTGTCTGGAGCCAGGTACCTCTGCTCTCGTTTCCCTGATCCTGATGGCTATCGTCAGGGCCCCTTCTATGCCGCTTCTATGGCCAGGGACGAAGAGGTCCTCAGTGCAGGGAGCTGGGGAGGTTGTGGGTCATTATAAGGAGGCGACGGTCCCTGAGGGCAGCTGCCAACAGAATATCATCCATAACCTGATCTTTGTTTTCCTCAATCTGTTCTAATTTTGGATATATTCCCACAGCAGGGGCACTCCCCAATTTTGGGTATATTCCCGCATTACATTTCTCTAATTCTGGATATATTCCCGCGGCAGGGGCACTGGCCTTATTACCCTTTTCGATCTCATTACTTTTGTCTTTCTTGGATTTCGGAGGCTGATGATGTTTTGCCACCTCCAACCATTTATCAAACCACAAAATCAAATAATTGTAATCCCAATTGGGATCCCCGTTTCCGGCTTCTGTCTCGCTTTTCCAAAATTGCATCTTTTTCAAGCCAAATGTAGCTCCGTAAGGCCAATCCTCGTGAGACCACCGATACAAATCCCTGGAAAATGTAACAGAGTACCTGCTGTCTCCGGTTTCTAGCCAAACGTTATTGGTGGGTGATCCTGGAGGGACCAACGGGTCACCAAGCAACTTTCTTTGTTTTTCGATTTCCTTGATCTTCTTTATGATTTTCTTCTTCATCTTAACGGGGAAGTGTTCCACCTCAGACTTCTTTGCTTGTTTTCCCATTCTATTGCCCATTGTCTTTAACAATTCCCACTCACCAAGGGATCAAACTCTGAATTCAAATGAATGTTAGTACTTTATATTTAGGTATCTTAACTCTATGTATTTCTATGTTCTAAGTCACCCTTTACCAACCCTGAGATCTCTTTATACCTCAGTCCTCGAAGTCTCCTGGACTCTTTCTTTTGTCTTAATAGTTCATATCTCATAAACTTGAGGATTTCTCAACGAGTTTCTGTCTTCCACACGTGGTATTGCCTGTACCGTCTGTCCGGTCTCCCCGAGATCGGATCAGGGTGGCTCAACGTGGGGCACTGGCCGGGGAAACTCGTATCCCTCTCTCACTTCCCTTTTTATCAATTTGTTCGGATCCTGGATTATATACACATATATATAGATAGCGATCCTGCCAACTACGCCAGATTGTTGAAGAGACTAGATTAAATCAAACACCAAAGGCCCAGACTTCGAGGCAAGGAGATTTTATTTGTGATTTCACAGAAAGTCAATGCTGACAAAAGGTCAAGTCCGAAGACTCCAACAAGCACATAAAAGAAGCAGAATTTATACAGTGGTACAAACAAGTTAAAACAAACTGCAATTGTACTGTGTTTTAGCAAGCCAAGGTCATTACTTAGGCAACCAGACATACATTAATTGAAGCGGAATGCAGTGAAGATAAGAGTGTACTGATGCTGCGAGCCCTAGCTTTTTGCTATCTATCCTACGTGACTTCTCAGACCAGGGAAAGGCAGGTTGCATTTACAGCAATATGTACTATTTCATAAAGCTAAAGTTTCCCTACTTCGTGCTCCTAGTCATGTATTATTTTAACTCATTACTACTCAGCCTAAATTAAACAGTCTCAACATACAAGTATTCCACAGTGTATGTGTATGTGTGTGTGTGTGTGTGTGCGCGCGCGTGCTAGGAGCTGGCTATATCCTGTGGACAGTGAATGGTCAGTTCCATGTATTGGGATTTGGATGCCACCTGTCTTTTCAGATCCATGCAAGCTCTCCCAATATCTATAGCCTCCTCAGAAGAGATGTGAAAGGAAGACTTGCATTTATATTTAGCCTTTCAGAACCACCTAATGTCCCAAAGTTTCTTTTAGGAAAACTGGCAGGCAATGTGCACATGGCAAACTCCCACAACAGCAATGTGATAATATGCAGACAATGAGTGTTTTTTTTAGTGGCATTGATTAAGGATTAATGTTAGCCAGGACACCGGGAATAACTCTCCTATTTTTCAAAATCGTGCCATGGGTTCTTTTTACTCCATCTCAGAGAAAACAGAAGGGGCCTCAATTGAGATCTCACCTGAAAGAGCTCCTCTGTCAATGCAGCCCTACCACACTTCTGTTGTGTTGGACTATTCTGTGATTGTGTCTGATTCAATGAAGCGTTCTGTGTCATTTCCCATTTTGGTCAGGAAGTTCACGAACAGGAAATGTGCAAGATTCATTTTCAGGAGAGGCCAGTGATGCCTTGCCTTAGCATATCTATTGTTTAAACTCTCATCCATACCTTTATAGGCTCTAGACTTGAGTATTCCAGTGCTCTCCTCGTTGCTCCCCCTTTAGTTCTTTTCCTCCTTGTCCTATTGCTCCTCCCCTCTATGAGAGAAGGGGGTACAGGCTGGGAACCACATTTTTAGGGGCCCTCTTGTGTGAAGTGGTAGTGTACCTACCTCTGGACTGGGAATCCCACTTGTTCCAGAGGTGTGTAACAATAAACAAGGGCACAAGGAGAGGCTGTACTGCCAGTTGTGTTTCTGCAAGAGCCACTTGGTCAATCCCACTCACTCACCTTTTCCCTGTGGCATGCACAATGTTTCTCTTCAGATCATTCTACAGTTTTCTTTTGAACCTTCAAGTGAATGAGCCTCCACTTTCTCTCAGGCTGCGCATTCCAGATCATGACCATTTACTGCATCAAAACGTTTTCCCTCACGTTTTCATTTGTCAATCATTTCTGTCTCAGACCTGCTACAACGATGCAGAACATAAGCTCAAGGAATAACATCTCATTTCGGCTAAGGTGCTTTATAATCTCCACAATTCAATATTGAATATTACAACTTCAAAGCATGACCTGTGGTCTCAATTTTTGCTCCATCTTCTCTGGCATTTTACACTCACTGACTTCAGCACTGACTGATAAACTGCCAACATATGTAAGTTGCTTCCTTAAAGCAGAGGTTTTTAATGCTCATTTACAAGTTGTCAGTTCTCTGTGGCCTGTATTATTTTTAATGCAGAGGATGAGGCTGGTTGTTTGTCATAGTGGGAAGCACTGAACAGTCATGGGGTGGATGTGTCTGTACAACACCTTGCTTTCTCAAGTCAGACCTGCAGCGTGTTCCAAACAAAAATAGAAATTGGTCTCAATTCCGTAGCAATGGTGGAGAGAAAACAGCGTTACCGTTTCAAGTCAAGTGATCTTTCTTCTGAACTGTCACTGAACTGGGCTTGGGCTGGTGCTGTAGCTCCCATGGCGCACCCCAGGTAAAAGAACTGCCCTCCTTTCTACAACCCATCCAGTAACACCTCCAGGTCCCTGTCTGTGATGCAGGAGCAAGATTCCTTTCCTCTGGTGATAATGGTCAAACTCCACAGAGTGAGGGACAGTCCCTGGTTTGCACTGTCTGAGGTGTTATGAAATTGAGCTTTAGATAGGGCACCAGCAGATTAAACACTAGAAGATCATGGCAGTGGTAAGCATTTCCACCTCTCTGGTCATTTGACTCCTTGAGAAAGGCACCCAAGAACTCAATTCCACAATTAATGATCAGACAAGAAGCCAATTGGGTGAGAAAAATCTCCCTAAACTCATAGATCAAGAGCCATGACTCTCACTCAACAAAATCCTTCCATTGAAAATAGTCAACAATACCTTCATAATCCTTTTCCTGTTTTACAGAAGGATTGCACAGTACTACACCAGAGAATACAGAGAGGATAGACACTGCAGATAGATCCTGACCATCCCCCAAGGAACAGCTGCACAGCTGTGGGAAGACAGCCAGTCCTTCACACCATTGCTCAGCATGGAGAAGACTGGGCAGTGAAACTTTGTCATTTCATCAAATCTGAAACTGGTCAGTGGTGTGGAGCCTTCCATCAGAACCAGCTTGGTCAGGGTGAGCCTGGGAAGAAATGTGAGTGGCTCCAAGTGTGATGAGTGTTTCAATGATTCATGAAGCCTCATGAACCACTGACTCATTCCTACAGGGGAGAGGCTGTTCAAAGGTAAGGATTGTGAGGAAGTCTCCCCCAGGCTCTTAAGATCTCCAAAACATAGGTGCATTCGTTGAACACTCCTATGGAAGAGAAACAATTCAAGTGTGAGGTGTGTGACCAAGACTTCAAACAATCATCGATGCTCGTGAAACATCAAAGTATCCATCACAGGAAGAAACGTTTCACATGTGAGGTGTGCAACAAATCATACTCCAAACCATCGCACCTCCGCATACACCAGTACATTCACACAGGAGAGAAACCATTCAAATGTGAAGTCTGTGATAAAGCTTTTGCAACATCCACAACCTTCCTGTCTCACCAACATATTCACACAGGAGAAAAGCCATTCACATGTAGTGTGTGTGAAAAATCATTCTCGCAGACAGCACACCTCCGTCTACATCAACGCATTCACACTGGGGAGAAACCATTCACATGTGAGGTCTGTGACAAATCATTCTCACATTCATCTCACCTTCGCGTGCACAAACGCATTCATACTGGGGAGAAACCATTTACATGTGAAGTGTGTAACAAATCATTTTCAGAGTCATCATCCCTTCGCAAACATCATCGCGTTCACACAGGGGACAAACCATTTACATGTGAGCAGTGTAATAAATCATTCTCACAGTCATCTGGTCTTCGAGTACACCAACGTTTGCACGCTGGGGAGAAACCATTCAAATGTGAGGTTTGTGAAGAGGCTTTTGCCAAATCTAGCACTTTCCTGAGACATCAGAAGGTTCATGATAATTAGAAAGCCTTAAAAGAAGAGATCACATGATAATTGAGCCTGGAAGCCCATCAGCAGCTCCACACTGGAAAATAAGACTTCAGGCCTAAATTTCAACAAAACTTTTGCAACATCTTGCAGCCTCCTGACAAACCAGAAAATTCACACAGGGAGAAACCCAACAGGTGTAGCGTCTGTGATCAATCTTTCAAATGGTCATCAAACCTCTTCAAACACCAAGTCATTCCTGTGAATCAGAGGATCCCCACAAGAAAGGAATCCTTCACATGTGAGTTTTGTGGTAATATTATGTGTTATCTTCAACTTCTTATCATAGAGGAGAAACCCTTCAAATATGATGTTTGTGAAATGCAATGCCCTGTCAAAGATCCAGACTTTCATAATAAAATGGGTTAACTTCTCTCCGAGCTTCCTGTCAATGAGACTGAATTGCTGACATCTGTTGAATGATGGAATATCTTCAGACAGACCAGTTCAAATGCGAAGTCAGACGTAGTGTTTTGAATGGTGATAACAGTTCAGGTTTCAGACTGTGAGAGAGTTAAAGATGTTGTTTTCTGAAACTTTCTCAGGCATCTTGTAAAAATATATACTAAATTCAGAAGAGTGGTCGATTATCTAGATTCTTCTCCCTCCATGTAATCTTAACTCTCCAAGTGGCAGACAGCTTGAGGCCCCGTTTTTTACAGAGCTCTCTGATATCAGAGGAGACTACAGTTAGTCACCGATCCAGCTGAAAAAAAAGCCTACGTCTCGAGACTCATAAAGAACCAGTACAATGGTGGATGATAAGACCAAAGAGTTGCCTACTGCTAAAGGTAGTTAGGCCCCACCTGATATATAAGAAGATGAAATTCTCCAAAACCTGAAAGACTACATAGAGCAGCAGTTTGACTTACACAAGGCCTGTACAAAGATCAGACAGAAGTATAGTACGTCCATGCGACAGTTGCCCCTGGACGACATTAAAAGGATCTGGGGAGAAACGACCTGTATGAAGGAGAAAGAACGAGTCAGGTGGTCTCTGGTCCTCATGGGACAGGTCCAACAGCGAAACAAGATCATGGCGTGTTCCCACTGTGAGCGAGATTTGACCAGTACTAAGAGCCAACTGGAAGCAGTTTGTGAAGAACCGGTAACACAACTAGCAGACAAGAGGAAATGCACCAGACCTTGGCCAGGGTACCCCTGCTTAAGTCAACTAGCAAGTAAACAACAGAAAGCACAGAGGCGTGAGGCGGATTTAGAGATAGATTCAGAATCCTCCAGTGACTCTAATGAAGAAGGTGTCCTGAGACTCACCCCATTGAAACCAAGATGAGCTAAGGTTAAATCTGAAGAAACAAAGAATAGCAATGGGATAGTCACAGTCACACACAAGCTGTTTTATCATAAACCAGCGGATCCTGAGAAAATTGATAAATGGTCTAAAGAGCTACCACCTCCTAAAAAGGGGGGGTTGAAAACGTGGGAACAGTTGGAATGTTTAAAAGGCATCTGCATCCACCCATCTTACGGAGTCCAGATTCTGACCTTGATGACATCTGGCCGAGAGGGGAGGAAATTGGGTAGGACGGTACAAGAAGCCCTCGGGGACGATGAGCAACAGGTAGAGGTCAGATGGGAAACTATCAAACATTGTTTTCAGGAATTCAATCCTGTAAAGACAGACTGGGGAATGATTGCAGACTGTCAACAGAAAGGAATTGAAGAAGTGTTGAAATACGACGAACGTTTTAAAACTGTTTGGTTAGAACACTCGGGAAGGACCCGAAGAAATGGATACAAGTACCATCTGTCCCCTGAAAGCCATTTTTGTCCTGGGTCTGAAGCCAGAGATGTCAAAGATACTGAAGATATTCCTACCAGACTGGAAAAGTAGAGGAATGACTTATGCAGACCTGGTAGGTCGGTGCAAGCGATTGGACAGGCATGTCGGAGCTAAAGTTCGGACCATGCAGGTCACCGGAGGGAAATCCAGAGAACTGGACAAACAATTATCCTAGGAAGTGTCACTGTTGTGGAAAAGAGGGACATTTAGCCAAGACGTGTAGGGCATAACAAAGAGGCCGAGGATGGTGACGTCTGAAGGAGAATTCCCCCCCGCCCCCACAGAACAAGTCCCTCATTGGAAGAGAGCCCTTTGGAGAGACTTAAACAGCTCTCCCAACAAAAAGAGTTGCTTAATTTGACAAAAAACTAGCTGAACCCACCCTCACCCTCTCCGCACCTCTTCTTGCACCAACACAACGAGGAGATGGAATATGTATACTTATAAGGGTGAGCAATCAAGATATAGACTGTCTCCTGGACACAGCAGTGGAATTGACCCACCTGCCTCTGTGTTATGGACATTCTTTGCCTTTGGATGGTAAAGTATGAACAGCCCGCGGAGCTAGGGATGAAGGCCTGACCATCCAAAGAACACATCTAGTATCCATAGAACTTGGTCCGCATGAATTAACAGCGTCAGACTGGGTGGGCTTGGTGGAATAAGCTCTCTTGGGAATGGACATCCTGACCTAAGAAAATTTCTCGTTGCATTTTGAGGATGGCTGAGTGACACAGTCCATGAGATGTTTGAAAAAAAGAAGAATTGAAAGAACACCCAATCTGGGCAAAGGATAAGAGCGATTGCGACCTACTCCGTTTGGAACCGCCTTCGTTTACTGATGTCATCCCCCAATGCACCAAACAATATCCCATCAGCTCAGCCTCAATTGCAGGAATTTTGCCTGTCATCCAACAACTAGGAGAACACGACATACTGGTGAAAACACATAGCTCCTCCAACAGCCCTGTCTGGCTATTGCAAAAACCTGACATAACTTGGCTTTAGAAAGATTTAACCAACGCTGTCAGTTCTGCCTCTTGACAGGATTCGGCAGCCTGGGGTGATCCACCAGAGGGACAACACGATAACATCCCAGTAGCCTGGGTTTATGTTAAGAAAATATATAAGGAACCATATGGGAAGAACCCTACCAAGTGTTGCTGACCACCCAAGCCACAGTAAAAGTCCAAGGGAAGAAAGCTTGGACACACGTATCACATGTTAAACGAGCAACCAGTGACTGAAATCGAAACTTGTTAAGGACTATAATGTTTGATCCAAAATGTGGAAATTTATTGCATTACTAACTGTCTGTATTTTGAGTGTTTGCTTACTAATAACTTGCCAATCCCTGCACCAAACCGAGCTAGTGTTTCCAGTGACCCCTTAAAACCCATCCCTTTTAATAGATCCGAAATGGCAGAATGGGTAATTCGCCAGAATACCTCCTTAGAGATCTGGCATGACTGGCATGGCAGTCCACTGCAGAGGCAGGGGTGTATTGGGTGCGCATGACTGACCCCTGAGAGCAGTGGGAATCAGTGGGTTACAACCTGACTGCCTTTCACAGGTAGTATCAGCCTAACTACAGCACATCACAACAATCTCCTTTCTTGACCCTTACTAACACTTCTGGAATGGGGTGACCATAAGAAGGGATATGTTTATGTAAAGCCCAGATGAGAGGGCAGGAGATGGGATACAGCAAGGTTGTTGGTTCTGCCATCCTGACATTCCAAAACCTCACCAGCAAAGGTACTTTCCAGCAAAAGTGGTATCCTGAGATATAATTGGGTTTACCCCTTATAAAGGTACTTATTTGTTTGTGGCCATAAGGCCTATGCCTGGTTACCTTCATCACGGATGGAATCATGTTATTTGCGCTATGTCGACCCCTTTGTCCGTCACTTGTTCTCCCTACCTGGGATACCCTGCTGGCAACAATTCAAAAGGGCCATTACAGAGACAGGGAGATTCTTTGCCATCTTGTTCCCCTGGTACAGGACTGCAAAACTGGCGAGGGAATCTATCAGTATGACAGGTGTCCTGGAATGGATATTGCAGAGGCCTTGGATAACATAAGCGCTGAAATGGTAGCTGCCTGTAAGACAGTGCTGCTAAACAGGCTAGCCCTTGATTGGATACTGGCTGAAAAGGGAGGCACTTGTGCCCAAATCGGGACCAAATGCTGTACTTATATCCCAGACAACTCTGAAGGGATCACTGACGTAGCAGCATATGTCCGAAAAAAGATGGACAAACTCAGGCAACCCCTATCTCCTACCTTATAGAGCTGGGCGATTGATTGACTGTGTTCACTGGGGACATCACTGGTGCCAGATATAGTGTTACTTGTTGTTGTAATTCTCATTTTATATTGTTAGATTTTGTTAGTTAAATGTTGCTGCCAACAGGCAGCTACAGGTGAGACGCTTTGGCATTTCTAGCAGACCTTGTCTGTGCCACGTGCCCTATGTCTAAGCCAACTTTCCCTTGTGAGCTTTGTGACTCACTTAAGGGAGAGTCAAAGGGAGAATTGTTAGGGCTGCCCATAACTGAGCAGCCCAAAATGGCCAATGGCTGCCCATGACTAATGTAGCAGAACATGGCTGACAGTAGTTAGACACCTCGGGAAAATATTTGCTAATGTAATCTTCACAAGAAGAACAATAGTAGCTCTGTAGATCCAAGGTAACGGAACTGAGATAGAATATGCAGTTGCAGTTGTTTATGCTTAAGACATAGATAAGAACATTTCACATGGCGTTTAATTAGTGACTCTCTCTTGAATTAATTAATCAATCTGTTGCAATACTAATAGTAGGTTTTAGTTAAGATCCTTCAAATAATCATAGATATAGATTCTGAAGTAGTTATGGATTCACCTATATACAAAAAAAATCACTAGGGAAAAAGATTCAAATAAAATTATGAGAACAAACCAGTCTCAGGCAGTAAAAGCAGCCCCGATACCATTACAGGGAGAAATGAATCATAGATACAGAAACTAGCTGATAGGGAATACGCAAGCTATTGTACATTGAAGTTGCTGAGGGCAGCAGAATCTCCGTTGAGTTAAGTAAATTAAAGTTACTATCAACAGTTAAACTTTTTGCCTGCCAAAACAGTCCAATCAGAGCACGAAAGCAAATAAATTACTGAGCCAAAT